TCGTCCCCGCCCTGTATCCCAGCGCCTTGCGGTGGCTCCTGTATGAGTCCCCATATGACCATGTGATTTCTTTGCCTTCCTTGACTCCTCTCTGTCTCTCTGCAAACAGGACCATCACCTGCGCAGCTGCCTTGCCTAATTGTATCTCCTCGTAGGGTCGTAGCGAACGAAGTGCGTTGCCCGCGTGCCTTGCTTCGGCTCGTTTGGACTTTGATGCTGCTGGCCAGTCGAAGTCGCGCCGCCACGCTGTCAAAGTCGTCATCGCTTTCGTCGTCACTTCCATCCAGCCTGCGTCCCCCCTGCTGCCGTGTGTCGTGACAGTTCGTCTGGTACTGTCTCTGGTGGCTGTGCTGTTCCTGTCCGGAAGATCTCCCCAGTGTAGATGCTACACACCTCGAACTTTTCCAGCCTCCTCGTCGCCAGTAGGCCGAGTTCCCCTTCCGCTATACTAGAGGGGCCTACCTTCGCCCCTACCACCGTGTCGCCCGCACCTTTCTTGTAAACCTCCGCGAGGGCACGAAGACTGGTCAGTCGCCCTCCGGGCACCGAAAACCTGTCGAACCACGCACTCGCACACGCCGAGCCGCGCGCGGCCGGCGCCTCTCATGCCCTTCTCCACGCACACCGCGTGAAAACCGCGCGTACGTCCCCGCGAGAGTGCTTCACCCCCCCATGCCTGTGCTCTCTGACTCTGTGCAACAATACACTCACACACGCCCGCGCGGTTTACGCACTGCGCGTCTGCCCGCGCCCTGAGAAAACAGCAGCCTTACAACACAAGTAAGCCCGCACGACGCTGCTTGCGCCCTCGCACGCCCGCACCTTCTCTGAGAGGTTCTCACCCGCTCTGCGGTCACAAAAAGAAAACCCTCCCTGCGGAAAAAAACAACACAGAACACTGCACTCCAAGTGCTCCAAGAACACTCACACCCAGTTTGTCCGCATGTACTGTGAAATAGCCAGCCCATAAAACAAGAATTTTATAACTGAAAGAAGAAAAAGAGATTCGCAACCTCCCCCTGGGACACGAAAACAGGCGTAGCGTGTGTAGCACCGCTGCCAACGAAAATTTGGGGCGTCACACAGACAGCGAGATGGTCACCAGTCCGATAAGGATCAACTGGAAGGCTGAACCCTGGGCTTAGACAGAACGGGCGAGGTAGGCTCCAAGGGAGACCACGCTCTACCCAAGGCGCCAAGGAGGAAAATCGAAACTGTTGGGCGTCCATCGCTAACACCCAACCGAGAGTTATAGGCGTCTGCAACTTCCAATGCGATTCTTGTATATTATCGTCGAGTAGTACAGGTATTCCGTGGGGGCGGTGTGTATTCTCGTTACATGTGCGTATTCTCGTATCACTGGCTCCGAGTAGAAAAAGAAAGAAAATATGGTGTTGTGTGTCCGCTAGCTCCGAGTAGAGGGGGCGTTCTGCAGTTAAGTTGAAACCCGGTACACGGAGCCCTCTCGGAGACCCGTGTTTACTTTACGGCCCTTGCCCTGCGAACGCGCACCCCCAGGGCTAGGGCTCTCTTGCCCGCAACCCGATGCCAATCATCCGGCCCGCATGGGGTGCATCTTAGCTTCCCGGCCCTGGATGTGCGGTTGATGACTGCACTCCAAGTGCTCCAAGAGAGCAGACACGCGCATCCCCCCCCCCCCCCGAGTGCCGACCTATGACACGTGCACGGTCATCTCGGAGAGAGAAGGGGAGGGGCGAAGGGGGGGGTATGGGAGATTTATCCGCGGGAGTACCCTGGGAGTGAGAGAGATCAGGGGAACCAGACATGGGGAACGGACACCAAGGCACTAACTTCATCACGCATTCGACCCGCGCGATCTAGCAAGCCCTGGTCGATGGGTCTTAGGATCGGCGGCCAGCTTCCCACATATGGCAGGTTACGGGCTGGGGGGACCCGCGCCAAGGGGGAGAGAATGGAGGGGGGAGAGAAGGGCCGTTTTTCTTCAAGCAAGTTTTTTGGGCAAGCCCGAAAAATTGCCAGTTTTTTCACCGTGTCGCCCGCCGTTAGCATGGCCGTCGCTACTATCGCCGCCGCCTCTGCTGCTTGTCGGCGGAGCGCCTCGCGCCTTCCCTCGTCTCCATGCTCCTGGTCTTGTTCTTTCTGTTTCCCTGCGCTTCCTGTCGCCGGCGTCCGTTCTCCTCTCTGCTCGTCGTCCTCGTCCCCTCGCTGTCGCCGCTTCCCTCCGGCGCTCGCCGCATCGTCGCTCCTGTCATCGCGCTTCCTGCGCCGGCCTTCGCTTTCGAGCTCGCAGTGGGTCGTTTTGAGTGTCATCCCCATCGCTCTCGTCGTTCTGCCTCTCCCCGCTTCGAGGCGTCTCTCCGCTTCCTCCTTTTCCTTCTCCTCGGCCTCACGTTGTCGACGTCGCCTCCGTCGCCAGCAAATACACGCATTCGCCGCCCACTCCATTTCTCGTATCCTTCTCTTCCTTCTGCCCTTCTTTCAAGCGTTCCGTTTCTGCGTCCACTCGCTCCTTCCTCTCCGCCCCGAGTCCCTTCCTCTTCCCTTCCCGTACTTTGATTATATTGATGCCGCCGTCTGCTGCAGTGCCTTGAGTGAAGTCACCACCCGTGTGTCATACTCCCTCATGATGTGTCTTCTGGCGGGTCCTGGTCCATCACGCTCGGCTCGGGCAGTATTCAGCGAGCAGTTGCTCCATCGCCTCCCATTCTTCGTCGCTCTCCCTTCTCCCTGCGCACCTCTTCGTCGCCCCAGCAATGGCGCGTACAGCGAGCGCCTGGGCTTCGCACACTCTGCGGTGTGGGCGAGTGTCCGCCTCCTTGACTTCGGCGGCGTCCATTGTAGCGCTTTGAGCACGTCCGCCGCGCCTTTTCTCATCGCCCGGTGGTGCTCCCTCCTCTCTCCCTTCACCGCCTCGCACTCGGCGCATAGGACATGTCTAGAATTAGCTGCAGTTGGGGTGCCAACAACCTTCAGCCCCGTCGGCACACGCTCCTCCTCCCTCCTCGTCCCACCCGTCCTGCCGCGCCTCTGCCTCTAGGCTGGCCCTCCATCCCCTCCCGTGCTCTATACCTCGGGTCTGTCCCGTCCGCATGCCGTGCACTAGCCTTAGCCTCGCCTTTTCCCCGCAGGCCTCGGGTTGGGGCTGGGTCGATTTTGGACCCCTTTCTCTGTCTCCCTCGTATCTCGTGTCGCCTGATTTCGTCCCCGTCGCCTTGATTACCGTCCTCCACACGTTGTCGTCTTCTCCCTTCCGCGGCCGCTGCGTGCCCGCCGTCCAGCCACTTCCGTACCCACCGTCCAATTTTCTCCTTCGCCTCTTGATACAGCCTCCTGTCTCGGATCTCCGGCGCCTGCCCCTCCTCCTCATGCATGTAGATGCATGCCCTGATCGTCACGTGTCGTGCTAGGTCCATCTCGTACGCGCTTGCTACCCTGCTCCGCAGGTGTGCCTTTGCCGCCGCGTCCGCCATGGAATTGGGCGCGTTGCCCGCGTG